AACAGAGAAACTTCAGAAATAATTGACACTATAGACCAAAATGATTTAATAGGCATCTTCAGAATATTTCACCCAACATCTGTACAATGCACATTCTTCCCAGCACCCCATGGAATTTTATCCAAAATAGATCATATTTTAGGACATAAAGCAAGTCTTACTGAATATAAGGAATTGAAATAATCCCCTGAATTCTAGCAGACCACAAGGGAAGAAAACTAGAAAACAACAACAAAAGAAACTACAGAAAATATTGAAACACATGGAGACTGAGCAATACATTGTTGAAAGACCAGTGGGTCATCAAAGAAATATGGGAGAAATAAAGCTTTCGTCAAATCTAATGAAAATGAAAACACAACTTAAAGCAGTACTGAGAGGAAAGCTTATAGCTATGATTTCCTATGTTTTAAAAAAAGAGAGATCACAAATAAGTAGCCTAACAATGTATCTCAAGTTCTTAGAAAAGAAAAACAAGCCAAACCACAAATTAGGTGGAAAGAAATAATAAAGTTTAGAGAAGAAATTAATGAAATGGAGACTATCAAACAACACAGGGCTTTAGGAATGGCTCAAGTGGTGGAGTGCCTGCCTAGCAAGCATTAAACCCTAAGTTCAAACGCCAGTACTGCAAAAAGAAAAAAAATACAAAGAATCAATGAAACAAAAATTTGTCCTTTGAAAAGACAAGTAACATTGATGAACCCTTATCCAAACTGATTAAAAGAAGGGAAAAGACCCAAATTAATAAAATCAGAGGTGAAAAAGGGAATATCACAACAAATACCAATGAAATACAGAGAATCATGAGGGAACACTCAAAGAAACTGGAAAATTTAGAAGAAAAATGGATGAATTTCTAGATGCATTTGACCTACCAATATTAATCCAAGAGGATATAACTCACTTTAAAAGATATAACAAGCAGTGATATTGAAATAATAATAAAGAGTCTCCAACAAAGTAGAGCCCTGGACCAGAAGGATTCACTGCCAAATTCTACCAGATCTTTAAAGAAGAACTAACACCAATGCTCATCAAACAATTTCATGAAACAGAAAGGAATGGAATGTTGCAAACTCATTCTATGATGCCAGTATTATCCTTATATCAAAACCAGACAAGGACACAGCAAAAAATTATAAACCAATATCTTTGATGAATGTAGATGCAAAACTTCTCAATAAGATACTTGCAAACCAAATTCAACAACACATTAAAAACCATCAAGTGGATGCAGCAGCATACATAAATCAATAAACATAATATAGCACATAAACAAAATCAAGAACAAAAATCACATGATCATCACAATAAATGCAAACACTCAGCATCCTTTCATGATAAAAACTCTGCTGCAACTAGGAATAGAAAGAACATACCTCAACATAGTAAAAGTTGTATATGACAAAACCTCTAGCCAACATCATACTAAATGGGAAAAACTGAAATCACTTTGTTTAAAGTCAGGAATGAGACAAGGGTATCCTCTCTCCCACTTCAAATTATACTAGAGTCATAGTAACAAAAACAAAATGGTATGGCACAAAACACATATATATATATAAAGACCAATGAAACAGAATAGAAGACCCATAAATAACCTCACACAGGTACATTCATCTGATTTTGGACAAAGGAGCCAAAAATATACATTGGGGAAAAGACAACCTTTTAAACAAATGTTGCTGGGAAAACTGGTTATCTACATGCAGAATACTGAAACTAGACCCCTAACTCTCACTCTGTACAAACATCAATTCAAAAGGGATCATGGCTGGTAGAGTGGCTCAAACCAGAACCATCAAAAAAAATTTTTAAAAAAACAAAATGGATCAAAATCATAAGGTAAGGCCTGAGATCTTGAAACTACTACTAGAGAGCATAGGTAAAACACTGTAAGATATAGGCATAGCTAATTATTTTCTGAATAGGAAGAAATGGTAATGTGGACAAATAGGACCAGATCAAATAAAAGAGCTTCTGCACATCAAAGAAACAATTACTAGAATCTGGAGACATTCCACAGAATGGGAGAAAATGTTTACCAGCTAGTCACTGGATAAAGGATTAATACCTACAATATACAAAGAGCTAAAAAAATTAAACAACAAAAGAACAAATAATCCAGTTCATAAATGGGCAAATTAACTGAACAGAGAGTTCTCAGGAGAAGTACAAGTGGCCAATTAATTCATGAAGAAATGCTCAACATCCTTAGCCATAAAAGAAATGCAAATCAGAATTAAAATAAGATTCCATCTTGTCAGATTAGCAATCATCATGAAAACAAGCAACTAGTGCTGACGAGCATGAAGAGGGTGGGAAGGAACCATAATACACTGTTGGTAGGAATGTAAACTAGTATAACCACTATGGAAATCAGTATGGAGTTTCATTCAAAAAAACTAAAAATAGAGCTATCTTATGACCATGTCTTACCACTGTTGAGCATACGTATGGAGGAGTGTAGATCACCATATAAGGGAGATACCTGCACTTCCATTATATAGTAGCACTATTCACAGTAGCTAAGCTACGGAATCAGCCTTGGTGCTTAACGATGATGAATTGATAAAGAATAATGAAATTATGTCATTTGGAGGAAAATGGATGGAAATAGAGATCATAATGTTGAGCAAGATAAGCCAAGCTCAGAAAGTCAAATACTATGTTTTAGCTCATATGTAAAATTGATAGATTGATAGACAGAAAAGTGGGAGTTAATGGAACATAATAGAAGTGGTGAACTTTTTCAAGTATACATCTATGAAATTCTCACAATGAAACCCCTTTATACTATTAATGTATGCTAATAAAAAATAGTCAAAGAAAAAAAAGGACAAAACCAATAAGTCAGACACAAATCACATTGGTATATTAACAGTCTCTCTTTTTCTAGCTCTTGCATCCCTACTTTCTTATAAAATTCCAAGGCATTTAAATTTTTGCTGCTTTAAATTCTGGTGGCAATCTGGTTTGCATGTCCTGTTTTACAACTTTCAGCTTGAATCACAGGTTTGGACCACACATAGGCAACTATCTTGATGATTAAGTATGTCAGTTACTGACCATTTCAATATTCACAAATTGCCACACTGATTGCTAAGAAGAATTAGGTAAAACTAAGTAAATTGAGGCAAAAGAGTCAATGAAATGTTACCAAATGAGAAATAAAGTTACCAAATGACTCTTCACTCACACACACACACACACACACACACACATAACAGAGAGTAAAGATTAGAAGACTACACAGAAAATTATTGAAGGAGAATGAGATTTCAGAGGGTATGGGGAGTACATAAGTGATATTTTCATCTTTTGTTCTGCATAATTTTATAAAATCTCCAAACCTCCCAACTATCACATTGCTACGTATGTATTTTGTTGTGATGCCTCAAGACTTTCTCCTGAGAATTCCTCTTTACTATGTCCAGTTGAAGAAAATCTGATCTGTAAAGTAGTGACACCCTGTGGTGATCAGGGCTCATTGCTAGAGCACACAAACTAGGAACTGAGCAAAGAAATCCATCTTCATATTTCAAAATCAGCTAGTTTTTATTTTCATTAAACAAACTCTTCATATGATATACCCCATGACCTACATCAACTTATCTGAACTGAAAGTAGAAGAGGGATTACTAGGGTAGGGGAAGGACACTGGAAGGAGAGGAGAAAGAGGAGGATAGGAATGGGTAGTATGGAGGATAGAATTGATTAGAGTATGATATATGCATGTATAAAAATGTCACAATTAAACCTATTAATTTTTATAATTAATATGAGTTAACTTTTATAAAAGACAATATGTCCTGTAATATGAATTAATACTAATAATAGCTAACATTTATTGTTTACTGTATGCCAGATACTATTCTAAGTATTTTACACTATTATTGTTCCCACATAAGCAATCAGAGGTAAAGAGAGGTGAAATAACTTTCAGCAATTAGTAGTAGACTGAGATGTTAAATCCAACAGTGCTGTTTTAGTATACATGCTCTTGGGCATTACATTTACATCCTCCAATAAAAGAGCTATTCAAAATAAGAAAGAAATAATAGAACTTTAGAAACTAAGGGCATAAAAGAATATGAAGAATCAATGGCTTATTCAGTGTCTTCCTATTCACAAAAAGAATCAGTGATATATTTTGAGCCTGGGTGAATGGGTGAGGTCATTATAAAAACAACTGGTATTGTTTAATGGGAACTATTGTATCTGTATTTCCTGTTTAAAGGAAATGAAGGACTACATTGCATAATAGAAAGGTATTCCAGATAAGTTAAGAATCTCATGGTTAGCTGCTAAAAGAATATCTACCAAAACCAGGAATATCACTTTCTAGGATCCCTATCAATGAACTTCAAGCTTTGAAGGACAATGAACATGCAACTGCTGTAGTCTCAAGGAACCTATAGAATATCAACAATGGAGAAAATTATACCTAGATTTTATAACATGATTTCATTCCAAGGAACGTTTTCCATTTCCTAGCAATATGATTGTTAGCAAACTCTTCATCTCTATAAATGGCACTTCCATCTATCTAGCAGCCAAAACAGAAACGTGAGAGCCATCAGAGTCCCCTCAATTATCAATATACTTCCTTCTCTTCTACCTACACTGAACAACATTATAGTCAGACTGTCATCATTTTTTTGAATTGACCACACATTAGCCTCTTCATTGTCTTTCTACTTCTACTCCTCCACCTCAATGCTTCCCTCATCCACCACCATGAACTCAATATGCCCTAGCTATGCTGGACTTTTGTCAGTTATTAAAACAAGGCAAACTTATTCCCCATCTTGCAGATTTTGTACTCTGCCCACATAAGAACACTTTTCTCTCAAGTTTTATGCATAGCTGGCACCTAATGAAGTTCGTACCCAAACTTAAAAACTCTTCCTATCAAGGAATTAAATAGTGTTCTTACATAGAAAATTGGGAGAAGGAACTGCTTAAGGTAGGCTTGCAGAATACTCTCTTGGGCAGAAGACATTTAAACTGAGATCTGAAGGATAATAAGTGTCATGAGATGAAAGTAATTAGAGGCCACATCACACAGGTCCTTTTAGGATATTGTAAGGACTTTCAGATTTCATCCAGAGTATGATGGGAAGTCATTCAAGTATTTTAAGAAGAAGAAGTTATATGATCTGGTTTACATTTCAACAAAACTGAAAGCTTGAGGCCTTGAGTTCAAACTCCAGTACTGCAAGAAAAAAAAAAGAATATAAACAAAAAAGCAAACAGATGAAAATCCTCAGGCTGATGCTTAGAATTTTCTTCAAAATAATAGAATGCTGAGTGGGACACCAGTGGGAGTATCAAAGAAACAAAATTGGCCATGTATTAATATAATTCTTGAAGTTGGGTGAAGGGTACATGAAAGTCCAGTGAACTTTTCTGTTTTTTCATATTGATAATTTAGTTTTAAATATTAAATAACACATATAGTCAGCGGACTTGACATCCACTTGCCTGGAGGAGAAGGAACAAAAAACTAATAACAAAGAGTTGTGTCAAGAGAATGTTGTGACAATGCAGCTTGGAAATCAGTCATCTATTCATAACTGCAAGGCATACCCACTAGGGCTCTGGATTCTGCTATGTGAATCCTAACACAGCAAACGTAACACAGGAGATGTTTGCAAGAAAGAAAGGTCTCTTCCTTGTACAAGGTATCTAAATCCCAGTTCTAATCTGGAGATCACCAGGGGGAGTTGCCACAGCAAAGGGCACAAATTGATGACTGATAGATAAGCTTCATCTGGCTTCTAGACAGGTTTCTTTGAATTCCTGGCATTATAAAGCGTTTTGAACTAGATGCTAACTTTCAAAATCTAAGATATTTCACATTTAAAACCTCGCTTTTCTGTTCTTTAAAAACTAGGAGATTTTCTAATGTTTAGCTGGAGTTAGGTAGCTGCTCTCCTCCTTTAAATACAGCATGTGCCCTAGAGTTTGACACAATCCTCACAGCTTCACTTACTTATGTGCATCTTTCCTCTAATGTAAACAAAGGTATATTATATGTTAATGGTGCTGAGATCCAAAAATCTGCTTTAATTTCACTTAATTTAAATTGCATTTGTACTTTTTCTATGCTCTGTAAAACCTGTGGGACTTTAGTAGTAATGGAGGAAGTAATGTCTTAGCTATCTTAATCATTGCTTCAGTGTTATGGCTTCCCAATTAGAAAGATCTACAGGCACTCATTAGAAATGATGACTACTCAGAAGACACCAGGCTTCGTGTTTTGTTAAGCTACTTTTATAAAAGTTGCCTTGGAAAAGGATAAAAACCATGAATGGGGCCTGTGTCCATGAGTATAAATGAATCAGTCTTCATCTCAAGACCTCCTTCCCTTCCTAACTCTCAGAGATTCTGTGTGTATGTATATGTGTGTGGTGAAGGTGGGATAAGGGTGGGCAGACCTGTATGGATTCTGCGGTGAGCTTTCAGGTGAGAGCTTTTGGTGTACACTTTGCTGCATCCTGCAAAGTCACATTGGTGAATCCGTCTTCTCTTCAAGTCAAGTGACTCTTCTCCCTGTATTTGGGCCATTGTTGCTGGTCTGAGCAAAGAAAGAGAGATAAAGCCAAAGAATGACTTTAAAGTGGAGGCTAAAGAATAGGCTTGCATACAGTGGTGCCATCTCATACCAGCTTTTAATTTATACAAGTTTAATGCTAGTTCCCCAAGAGAAGAAACAACTGGAACAATGGAAGCAATCCTCTCAACTAGGTCTTCTGATCAGTAAGTGTAGGTCCTTGAGAAAGCACAGTAGATGGTAATGTTTCCTTGGGTAGTTGTGTTCCCAAAGAATATGAGCATTTCACTTCAGTGTCATTCTTGTGCTTAAGGAAATGCATTTTTTCCACACAACATGGCTGCTAAACAAAAGCCAACTACTTCCAATTAGTTTCAACACTGCAAGACCAGGCTGTTTTAAATTTATACACACAGAGTATACAACTGTAATTTATGGAAAATTTGAAGGGTTTTTTGATGATGTGCAATTTGCAATTAGAACATAGCTCTACCATAACATATATGTACATACACATGTCCACCTAAACTTACATACCTTCTGAGAAGGCATTTCATTTATATTTTGTTGTCTTCAAATTTTTATTGTTGTGCCTGATAATTAGTTCCACCTCTACACATGCACACAAACAAACACAAACACACACAGACTTGAAATAAAGAAAAAAAGTACTCACTCTTGTTGCAATCCTTGCAGACTCTGTAAGGCTGAGGATCCACTCTCAATTGCACTCTCCTCACTGTCACTTGGAATCTCCAGTGGAGACATGGAGGTGGGGTCAATTTTCACTAAAAGCAAATAAAGGGAGGAGTGTGGGCCAGAGTGTATGTACCTCTGCAATCATTTTTTAATTTTTAACATAGCCAGGAACAGAGATATCTTTGAAGGAAGGGTGGTAAGGACTGTTCTGGTACCACTAGAATGTGATTTTCCCTATGACAGGATCTGAGTATGAATCATCTCGCTATTTCCAGCTCTCAGGAAAGAGTTTGGTAAAAATTCAGGTTCAATGTGTGTTTGTTGAACTGAACTCTGAATAGTTCCCTGGCTGTTCGAACATAATATTTGGTATTTTTCCAGAGGTTAGACTATCTCCTTTGGACATTGTGCTCCTAAATTGAAATGAGCCAATGAGATGAATCATGTACCTAGACAAATATTAGCATTCTTCTTTCCACCTATGTTGGGGAAAGCCCTCAAATATTCCTTAATATCAATCACTGATGTTCTAACTCCTAAAAATAACCCAATCAGGTGGTGAGCAGACTCCTGGATCCAGTGAGAGCTTCAAATTTTCTATATAGAAGAAACTTAAGAGTGGGTATAAGGAGAGAGGGTATTTAGCTAGTACAGTTATCTCTATACTTCAATTGAGTATCATTCACTAAAAAGTTTTAGGCATACATCTCAGTATGTTTGTGTACATATGTGTGTGATATAAATGTACTAGTATCTTAAAAGTTTGTGAACATTTGGAAAAATAAAAAGCAACATATAAGGGTAAGAAATATAAATTTGTTGCTTTGTATTAGCACTCCAATTGTTTTATGTGCCCCGCCTAATGTTTAAGTACCTCATTCTGGAGGCCACTAAGCTAATGTCCACAGATTGAAACTATATTGAACACTCTTAAAGTTTACTTTACTTATTTAGTGTGGCTCTGATGAATTGATGAACATTACAGACAAGGGTGTGGGGCTTTCAAAGTTCCTTCAAACCATCTCTTTTACTGCCTTATCTCAGCAAACTTTCCCACATAAATTTTATTTATTTTTTGTTTGTTTCCCTTTATTATTTTTGATATTCTTTTTATGTAGAAATTGATATATCTCAAAAAACAAGACTGTTGTGAAAACTTACATTCCCCCAATAAATCACTACCTTATAATGATATTTTTATTCAAAAGATCACTGCAGAGTGCCAGCAACTTGGTGCTTTGTATGTCATTTTTCATCCTCCTACATTTAGTGATGGAATGATTGCAGGGCATTGAATTTCAAAGGTAGCGGACTCAGGAAATTCTTTATTATAATAAGCTGAAATCTGGTTCTTAGTAGTTTCTACCCACATATCTCCCCTTTGGCCTTTTTAAATTCATGCTAAACATTATCAGCCCCTCATTTGACACAGGTTTGATTTCTTTTTCTCATCCTGGATTCTCTCCTCTTATTGTACTCCAGTTTCTCAATGTCTTTCCTAATATACAACAATCAAAATTGATTATAATACTGCAGATGTGGTGAAGCTAAATATCGTGAACCAGTCAGAGGCAATATAATTTTCTTTGATCATTCCTAATTACAAATTAAAATAGATGTATCTCTGAGGGAGGAACTGGGCTGTTGGGAAAAATGGTAGAAGACAGGCTTAGTTTATACCTTTCTAAATTCTGAACATACTTTTAACAACTAAGTTAAAAGGAAAGATCACAACATATGAATTCTCTCCTAGATAAATTTTCAATGGCTAGAGGAGTGGCTCAAGTGGTAGAGCACCTGCCTAGATAAATTTCCAAGGTTGTTTGTTTATCTAATTATCTGTTTTGAGACAACTGGCATGTAGCATTTTGTTAGGGTTCTCTGGAGAAGCTACACACAAAAAAAGATAGTCTTATTCTTGAGGAATTTATAACTCAATTGAGAATACTGTCCATATACTTGTGATACAAGCAATAAAAAATGTAAAATGGGGCCAGGAGCTTGTGGAGCATACATGTAATCCTAGCTACTTGGGAGGCTGAAATTGGGAGGATCATGGCTTGAGGCCAGCCCAAGGAAAAGTTCTTGAGACCCCATCTCAACGAATAGCTGGGCACAGTGGTACATGCCTGTCAGTCTAAACTATCAGGAGGATAGTGATTCCAGGCCAACCTGGGCAAAAAAAGTTTGCAAGACTCCATCTCAATAGAGAAAAGCTTGTTTTGGTGATTCATGCTAGTAATCCTAGCCACAGTGGTAATCCAAAAATAGGAGAATTGTGGTCCAGCCTGGCCTGGGCAAAAAGCAAGAACCTATCTCCAAAATAACCTGAGTAAAAGGGGCTGGAGGTGTGGTCAAGCAGTAGAGTAGTTGCTTAGCTAATGTGAAGCCCTAAGTTCAGAACCCCAGTACTGCCGAGAGAGAGACAGAGAGAGAGAGAGAGAGAGAGAGAGACAGAGAGAGAGAGAGAGAATAGATGGAGGATGGAGGGACATTGAGGAAAGGGGAAATGTTGATGCTCACCTGATCCAGCATTTTTGCCATCTCCTCCAATGAGTGGGACTGTAATGGCTGAAGGGCTCCCATCTGCAGGCAAACTGGTATACACCATGGGCAGAGACTGCACCACCAATGGGATCGTCTTGAGTCCACCCATTTTATTTGGCAGACTGACTGAGGGGATGGTGTGAATCACATGTAAGATTGGCTGGCCACCAGTCCCCTGAGAGGAGGCCAGTATAGAGCCTGGAGTCAGAACAGTAGGGATGCTTGCTGAAGTGCTTGTATCAGATGTTGAAGTAGACACAACAAGGGTCTGGGGAGCAGAGTGTGGCTTGGGAGGGCGTACTGGAGCTTGCAACATGCTAGCTGGCTGGAGAGGAGCCTTGGGTTTATGAAATGAAAGGTCAACTGGTTCCACCTGTGGCAGGCTGAAATCATTAGCCAGAAGTTCTTCTGGGGGCTCAATCTTGATATCATTAAATAGGGCTGGATTCTCCATGGAGCTGGCATCCAAGAGTGGTGGAGATGTCATGTTACTTCTATCAGCTGTCACAGGGTGATCTCTGATTTGAACAGGATCAGTGACCTAAAATAAATGAATAAATGAGAGATGCAAAATAGCCACTCTTAGTGCCCTAAAGAGGCATGTGAGCAAAGAAAGAAGGAAATCTCTATTCTCTTCTCAGGGAAAAAATGCATGACTTTGGGAGGAATGAGGCAGGAGTACACTAAGAAAAAGGAAGAGAAATGTTACTAAGCACCAGTAAAGTACTGGTACTGTATCAGTCAGTTGATAAAAAACGTTTCATTTAATTTTCACAATAACCCTGCAAAAGTCAATACTCTGAGCATCCACCATAAGCACTGTGCCAAGCCCAGGGACAGTACACATCAATAAGGTATAGCTAAGGTGATATATTCTATCATTATACTCCCTACAATGATAGAATAATATGAGAAGACTACAAGTCATACCATAATAAGTGAAGTGACAAACAAATCAGGTGTTTTAGAAAAAACAAAGGGGTTGGGGTGTCACTCAGTGGTAGAGCTCTTGCCTACCATGTGCAAGGCCTTGGGTTCCATTCCCAGCATTGACAAACAAAAGTGGAATGATTTATTCTATCTAGACAGGAAATGCTTCAAGGAGGAAGTAACATTTTAGATAGGTCTTACAGAATTAATAGGATTTCTCTAAGCAGAGAAGAGGTAAGAAAGATATTTCTGTCTACAGAGATATAACAGCAGACAATATGCTTAGGGAATAATGATATGGCAGAATTAGCTGCATTGTATGCAAAATTGAACTATACAACTTCTAAATTGTAGAATGTTTAAGAAACATTCTACAACTGTAATCCCATAACTCAGGAGGCTGGGCAGGGGGGTCATAAGTACAAGGCCAGCCTGGACTAGGTAAATAGTGAGACCCTATCTTAAAACACCACGATGCCCATACCAGATATATATCCAAATGAAATGAAACCAGTACATTGAAGAGACATCTGTGTTCCTACATTCATTGCAGCACTATTAACAATAACCAAGAAAGGAAGAAATCTAAGTGTCTAGCAACTGAAGAATAAATAAAGAAAATGTGATACACATACTTAATGGATTATTCATACCCAAAAAGAAAATCCTGTCATTTACAACAACATGGATGGAACTGAAGAACATTATGCTAAGTGAAATGAGTCAGACACAGAAAGACATGAATCACATGATCTCACCTACTTGCAGAATGTAAAAAAAAAAAAAAAGCTGAACTCATGGAAGTTGAGAGTAGAATGGTTTCTACCAGAGGCTGGGGACAGTGGCAGGAAGAGGGATAGGAAAAGGTTGACCAACGGGTACTAAGTTATGGTCAGATAGGGGCAAGGAACTCTGGGGTACAGTATGGTGACTATAGATGAAAATAATGTACTATATCTTTAAAAAATTAGAAGAAAGGATTTTTACCATAAAAATGATAAATGTTTTAGGAAATGAATATGTTTAACTTAATTTGAACACTACTCAGTGTACACATGTATTCAAATATTATGTGGTACCCCATTAATATGTACAATTTTATGTTTTAATGTGTCAGTTAAAATAAATTAAAAATAATACTCTGGATCCTGAAGATGTCCTTAGAGGTGATGGTATCAGTTTAGCCAAAAAACATTCTCTATCAGCATGACATTTGAGTTGTAGGCATTTTAAACTATGAGAGCTGTTCAAGAATGCATACTGTGTATAAAATAGAGGCATCCTTTAGTTATACATTTGGAAGGTAAGGAAAGGTGGAGCTCAAGGAAAGGTTGGGTAATAGAAGATGATAATTGTTTGGAAGACTGGAGTGACATGAACAGAACTGTTTCTATGAGATTTCACTAGCTCCTCAGTGAAGGGAGGGTGAAAGAGGAGTAAGACTAGATTCAAAGAGAATAAACAGGAAGCAAGCAGAAAAATGTTGGTGTTACATATATGAGACATTTGAAGAAACTTGAATATTGACTGCATATACAATGATATTGGGGAATTATTGTTAAATTTAAGGTGTGGTAATGATATTGTGGTCACGACTAAATCTTTTAATTTGGGTGAGAGACCATAAGGGCCTTCTTCAGAGATGGATGAAGAGCATGGGCAGGTAGCGTCTTCTAATTTGACTTCATTTACGAAACCCTCATAGCATGCTGGTTATGAGTAAAGGCACCAAAAACACTTCTATGCTTTATCTTCAGAGTTTAGCCAGATTGCCACCTGCTTTTTCCCCTTTGCTATGCTGAGACACTATTGGCTTCTTTGACTTGAAAGCCACCATCCAAACTTAGGTCTTCTTTGTCCAAACATTGCTTCACTCTTCTGCTTCAGAACATGGTTTCTATGATTTGTCCCATTGTTTCACATACTTCTAATGTAATCCATTCCTCAAGGGTGGATTCAACCCATCTAGGAAGGAGGAGCAGTAGAATTCTGTTGGCAGGGGCAAGTACGGAGTGAGGGGAAGGAGTATGGAGATGAAGTTGTCAAGAATAGCTTTACCAAACCTAAAAATCTCTGTCCTCTGAATCCCACAAGTCAATTTAAGCTTTTATTATTTTTCCTACATTTCCCACTTGTCTCTTTGTTCAACTAGCTACATTCTCAGATTAAAGTGGCAGAATCCACGGAATATCTAAGGAAGAAGAAAGAAGAGGAAGGGTACCCTGTTTCCACAGTCTATCATGACTTTCAATAACACTGAAAGCAGAGTAACAACAGAAAGCATAAGAATTGGTCATGTGTAACATTATTTTCTATAAGAATGTACAAATAAAAAAACTGACACAAATGTCAATATATATTTCAAAAGAACCTAGCTTAATTTTTAGGAACTTTCTGGTTTAGGGCCAGAACCCTAAGGATGTTGAAACTCTGAATCTTTAATAAGTAGAGATAACTTTGGCAACTTTATTCCCATTTCCAAGATGCTGAGTGCTGCCTATAATAATGGTGTTAGCACAAGACCTTGTGCTTAGCTGGTATTTGACCTATGGTTATTCATTTTACTGAAAACATATTAGTGAGGAATATCCAAAATAGAGGGCTAACAGAGTGGCTCAAGTGGTAGAGTGCCTGCCTAGCAAGTGTGAGGCCATGAGTTCAAACCGCAGTACTGCCAAAAATAATCCAAAAGGGAAACTCACTGATGAATGTATAGAAACTGACAAATATATAGATCATTGTTATTGTTGTCCTTTGGTAGACTAACCCTGCCTTCTTGCCTGTCAATCTTAACCCAAACCCTATCTCCAACAGGGCTTCAATCACTCCTCTCTCCTGCCATCATCACATGGCTTTGAAAGAAATTTAAGACAGCTAGTTGTTTGGATTTTAGTGTTTTAATAGTAGTAACTTCCTCAAGACATACCACATTTTTCCTTCTGTAAATTTCACTTTCACTATGCTTATTGTATCTAAGTGAATCCAGCCTATAGCAAGTATGTTCTGGATTTCAATGCTGTCTTCTGCAAACAAGCTCTCTTAAGGAAACAGACTATACTCAAAAGCAGTTCTCCAGATTGATCTGACTGCTCTTTGCTTTGTGACCTAAAGACAGCATTCTATATTCACATAGTAGGGAATAATTTTATTTATGTGCGCTGAAGATTCTCTTTTTAAATATAATCATAATAATTTAAACAAGAATCCTTACATGTATGCAGTATGATTTTTCTATATTTTGAGTATAATGATCCCTATAGTGAAAAAAAACCTATCTGTTTTACACTGTCTTTAACAGAGCATAATGTACTTGAAGGTTATGAAGAAGAGTAATGTTAAGGAGTGAATTCCTTTTCAGCCCTAGTATTTTGGTATATCTATGCTCCCACATAGCTAGTATTACAGGATAAATCATTATACCCAGCTTATTTGTTGAGACTGGGTCTCACTAACTTTTTGCCTAGGCTAGTCTTGAACTACAATTTTCCCAATCTCCACCTCCTGGGTAGCTGGGATTGTAGACATGCCTGACTAGGCTTAGCCCTTAAGTCACCTTTTTTTCATCTTCTATATTGTGGGGTGGCTTTAGGCTTTAAGTGTTCTCTAGTCAACAATTATTACTCTTCAAAGAAACAGAACAGCTATTTTCCCCATGTGCTATGTTAAAACTTGAAACTGAAGCTTCCTAGGATTTCTGAGTCTATGAAGTTGTGCATGGAAAAAATAAGGAAACTAAGGAGTGGGTTGGAAAAAAGCTTTAATTTCAGGGGTCACCCTCCTCAAATATAAAGAATCTTAATCAAAATTTTAAACCACTTTTTTATAGCAAAAATTTAAAGCTCTGTAGAAAGGCACTTACGACCCCCCCAATTCTACAAAGAAATCTCTAGAAAAAGAGGTCAATTTTATAAATAATTAAGCTCTTGAGCATTTGATGAAGATAGCCTTAGGTAAGGGAGGGTAAGGGAAATAAACTGTTAAAAACAGAGTTTTCACTTTTCATTCATTTGAAACAGCTGATGTAGAGCTTGAAGCTGGGAAGGCAAGACTAGAAAGAAAATGAAAGAACAAAATATTTCAGACAGCACAGTAGGTGGAAAGGAGAGGAAGGAGTGTTGTCATAGTAACAAGATAAAGCCCAGACTCCTCCCTAACAGAAAGATAAAAGCTGTTTTTACACATGGGTCTCTTTTAGTTTGCTCTGGGTTTAGACTAATCATTTTCATGCCTGGATGCACATGAGTGTGCATACACACATATATTATACATTTTCATTATTTCGGTCAAAAGTCAGTTTAGCCTTCTGAAATCTAATTCTTTTCCAATAAGGACAAGATGTGCTTGAATATCAGAGAAAAAAAGTAGTGGATGGGTTATTATTAAAAAGTTAGTTTAATCTAACCCTAGAAGGATTTTTGAATCTTATATCACCACTATCTCAATAACATTAAAAATAAAGCACTGAAGGACAAACAATTCATCTTGTATAAACTATGAGCTAGTCTTGGGTACATGCCAGTAATTCCAGCACTCAGGACCCTGATACAGGAGAATCAGAAATTTTGATGCCAGCCTGGCTGCACAGCAGGACCCTATTTCAAAAAAAATAAAAACAAAACCCAAAAGTACACATGCATGTATGTACACATGTATGCATGTATATGTGCTCATATAGTCATTCATTAGGTATTTGCATAGTATCTAGCATGAAAATATGGAACTATTAGTACCTGACACAAAATTATGGAAGATATAAAAATAGTAACATGAAATAATTTTTCTTTTTCAAAGCATCTAAGATTGTTTTGGGGTATACATGGATACAGTTATTTTATTTGAGTGATTAGGTATTTATTTTAATATATATTAGAAAAATGTATGTAACAAATTATGGTGGCCCCTAGATCCACAAATATTAGCTTGTTGGAAAAGAGGTCTTCGCAGATATGATTAAGATAAGGATCTTGACAGAGTCATCATGGACTTTTTGGGTTGGGCAAAATCAAATGACTAGTGTCTTAGTAAGAGACACACAGAGACAAAAAGAGAAAGAATATGAAGACACAGGCAGACATTGGGAATGACAGAGTCACAAGCAAAGGAATGCTAAAAACTGGAAGAGGCAAGGATAGTTATTCTCTAGCACTCCCTGATAGACTGAGACATTGATTTAGACTTCTGGCCTCCAGAATTTTGAGAGAATAAATCTTAAACCAAGTTTGTTGCAATTTGTTTTAGCAGTCTTTGGAAACTAATACCTCACATGAAACCAGAATCCTCCGATTGGTCAGAAAAAGCTAATGCAGGTATTATTTATACATGCATTTATTTATTTGGTTAACTAGCTAATTTTTCACAAGTAAGTATATAATATTGATGGCAAGGAATGTGATAGAACTTGAGAAAGTGGTAAATCAATAATTGAAGTTTGGGAGACAAAAATTATCACTATGAAGATAAGAGATATTTATGTAAAGTAGCTGAAAATAGAGAACAAATAATAAGCAGAGCTACATGAGTGACTGGTACATATAAGTTTAGCATTCCAAGGCACAAGTGCACTAGAGAATCGATGAGAACCAGGGTTGTCAATGAAAGTTTCACAGAAGAGAGATGGAATTAAAATTTGGGCCCTAAGGAAAGTATGTGTGGGGAGGGAGGCAGGTAAATTAGATTGGCTAACTGAGGCACTGTTCAGGTAGAAAAAAGTTTGAGAAAAGATGACAATGAGAATCTTTTAGAAATGTGTGACTTAATTAGGTATTACTATGGAAATTTATAGAGGAGAATGTCATCATTTGCAGCCAAATACTGAGTTGTTGAGGGGTGACGCTTTTAGATGCAGCTTACTTTCAAAAGTAAGAAAATTTGCGTGTGTGTGTGTGTGTGTGTGTGTGTGTGTTAGAGAGAGAGAGAGATTGAGAGAGATTAGAAAGAGAGACTATGTGAAAATATGTACCAAAATTTAATAACAGTGAATGGGTATGAGAGGTAGACATGAATGATACAAAAATAAGTCTAAAACTGTTCATATATTTCAACCAAGAAATCCCATTTCTAGAAAATAATCAGAAAGTAGAAACAAAGGGGAGGTAACAGTGAAGTGCTCATTTATATGGTACAGGAATTCAGAGAGAGAGAGCAGTAAGTGTGTGTCCTAATCTAGAAATCACCCACCTATCCTAACTCATGACATAAAAAATCATATAATGAACCAGACCAGGAAGTTTCTCACCCCTGGGATGATGCCAGCATTGAGTGAGAACACAAACTCCCAGTCTCTGTCCTCTGAGGCATGGCCAGTGTTCTGTTGCCACTTATCACAAACACCCAGCTTTACTAAAAGCCAAAATTATTCTAGAAATAGCAAGAAACAAAAGCGCTTACATACCTACTATTCAGAATTTTCTATGCACTGAACCAATTTCAATGTGCTTTTCAAATTCTAGAAATTCAGTATACTTAAATAATGCATAGAAAAACATTTCTGGAATTAGGTACAACTAGATTACAAAATAAGGTGCTACGCATGCTTGACAACATTTCACTGAGTACTTTTTATTATAAGTGCAATAGATTTTTATCTAACACTAGTTAAAACTCAGCTTCCTCTTAGTATTAACTCTGACTAAGCTCCAGCAACAAGCAGATGTTTTGCAACAATTAGCAAGTTTTGATGTGCTAATAGTTTCTAAATGGCAACAGCTCAGGAGTAAGGTCAACAAGACATTAAATTGAGCTTAGTATCATTAAAACACTACAAAAGGGTCTCATCCATATGCATGTGTAACTTAGATTCAATTACACACCAAGGGCTAAACAAAAGCAATTTAAAAACATGACTCCTAAATGTACCCGAGATTATTTTATCAGAAAATAATAAAGAAACAGGTTAAGTGCCATATATACAAAAGTGGATACTCAAATTTATAGGCAATTTAAGGTATTTTCAAGGGTAATTTTGTCTGTATTTGGGTCTCACTAATGCAATGATTTAAAACCAACCCTGAGCAAGATGGGACTTCAATATTAGCAGAGTGCTTGGCTATGAAAGCGAGATAATCTGTTTTGAGTATTCTTGTTATAAACAGATTAGTGATAGTTAAGTTTATGTGACAACGTAGCTGGGCCACAATCCAAATATTTAGTTAAACATTATTGGGATATTTCTGATTTTTTATGAAACTAATATTTAAAGCACTGGACTTCGCATAAAACACATTGACCTCCATAATGTGAATGTGCTTCATTGAATTAGTTGAAGGCCTTTAAACAAAGACTGAGACTGATTTCCCCAGTGAAGAAAGAATTCATTGTTTTTGAGATGGGATCTTGCTATGCATATCTTTTTTTTTAATTTTAAAATTTTTTTAATTTTTATTTTATTCATATGTGCATACAATGTTTGGGTCATTTCTCCCCACCATCCCTCACTCTCTCCCTATGTAGCATGGGCTGGCCTGAACTTGTGATCCTCCTGCCCTCAACCTCTTGAGTACTAGGATTATATGTAAGGCAGCACCATGCCTGGTACAAGAACAAATTATGCCAGCAGTCTGCTTTTGGATTTGAGCCACAGCTCTTTCTGAGTCTCCAGTCTGCTTTGTACCCTATTAGATTTTGGGATTTTGGACTTGACACACCTCATCATGTAGCCAATTTCTCTCTATATTTTATATTTTCAGTCTCTCTTCTCTCACAACACATACACAAATGTAAGTGTTGAGCGTGCATGCACACACACATTAAAACAGTGTATTAATCATTAATATACTGGGGAAACAGAGTTAACAGGACAGTTCCTTGAAAATCCTGACTAATAAAACTGTTCAACAGTTATTTTGAAAATCGAATTGCACAATGCATGTATCTTTACAGTACCTGGACATGAGATAGTGCTAGATGACTGTTTTTATCTACCAAAGTCTAATATTGGTGCTGATAGGCTTGATCCCAGAGACTACATTTTTTTGAGGCCAGATCTACTCCTTAGTTGAACCTGAAGCCCAGGTAGTCAGATGCTTCCTGGAAATCTATCTTGCTTCATCCTTTCTCAGTCCCCAGATATATCATTAGAAAGAAAAATGAGCTTCAATTCTGCAATGACTATCAGGTACTCAACACTATTATGGCTCAATATTAACACTTCATTTTCCTGAAAACTGACCTGTTTGAATGCCTGCATTGAGCCACCTTCTGAATTAAGTTGGACCTCCAAGTTGTTTATGAGCTGATCCATATCTGGAAAAGATACAAGGGAAAGATAACTTTTAGAACAAGATGCAATCCACTATATGCATATATTAAGCCATTTGCCCTTGGTTATTCCTGTGTGTTCTATGGACAGAGTTTTCAGGACTTACTAGATTACTGAGAAATTATTGAAATGTTCTTATTTATTCTATTCAGCAAGATGTCCTTGACTTATCTCCATCAATACTAGTTGCCTACTTTCTCCAAACTTGCATATAGGTGAATCTGTTTCTTTCAACCACTTGAATCTGCCCTATCTCTATAAGAGCATCAACATAGCTCCACAGTTTCCAGAATCCTCCCTTCCTGGTCCATTTCTTGCTCTAAGGAGTTCTAAGCTCCTGTACGGATGTTTACCCCAGTAAATATATTTACACCACAGGGCCAAATCTCTCCAGAGAAGCATTATATTTGTCTACCTGTCTTAAACCTACAAGCAAAATGAGGTTACTAAAAACAATTTTCACATTCTTTATTAGATAGCTATTCCTTTTACGAAAGGAGGGGGTTGGTAGCCTCATCTCGCTGCTTTGAGCCATTATAGTTATTTCCACCAAAAACACCTACCAAGTTTTCTTCTTCAGCCACATTTCCTTTGATCCACCTACAAGCTAATGTCACTGCTGAGGAAAACATAGGGTAACAAAGCCAAATCCACAGCATACTTATGACTTGATTGGCCAGATTTCAGATCACACTAAGTACAGTTAGGTCCCTCACTTATGACCTTGTTGTATTTCAAGAGTCTATAAATCAGTTAATGTTTGAGATTCAAATACATTAACCCATAGAAGTATTAATTTTAACAGTCACATCACAATAACCATTTAAAACACATTGCAGTTAAAATACAACAAATGCACAATTAGCAAAGGTACAAAATTATAAAACAGCAACACAAAAATTAAAAGATGACCATAAAACAATTCTTTCATTTATTGAGTGCCAAGAAATGAGGAAAATATTTCTAGTTAAAAAGCAATAATACAGCTGGGCACTGGTGGCTCACATCTGTAATCCTAGCTACTCAGGAGGCAGAGATCTGGAGGATCGAGGTTCAAAGCCAGCACAGGCAAATAGTTCATGAGAGCCCATCTCAACAAAACCCATCACAAAAAAGGGCTGGTGGAGTGGCTCAAGGTGTAGGCCCTCAGCAATAATACACAAGGAAACATCCATTGGAAATATGAGGAAGGCTTCTGAGTTCAGAGAATTTTGTCACTTAAAAATATTGTATCTCCAATTTTATTTCGAAATTGATGACTTTTCTTTGATCCATGCATAATGAGTAGAACTTTTCACATATACATCCATTCATCCACCAAACATTTATTGCATAATTAATGTTTCTGAGATTATTCTAGGCACATTACTATGAGTGTGGGCTCTGAGACAATCAGGCACGTAGAAAGTCAGAAAATGTAGCAGAGAGCACTGACCTGGGTATTAGATGCCCAGGAATCATACTTTATAATTTTTGGCAAGGCCTTTTCTTTATAAACTCAACTTACCCATTTAGAATGACAGGATTTCAAACTATCTTCTACCAAGCTGGACTGGTTCTATGGAGCCTTTCAGGGATGGGGTAATAGAGGAAGAAGGGTAGAAAAAAATAACAATAGAGTGTCGAACTCAGAAAACTGTGATTTCCAATAGAATTTAAGCTCATTGTTTTGTTCACTGATATATTCCAAGGGCCTAGAAAATTATCTGATGCATGGTAGGTGTTCAATACATTTCTGAATGTATGAGATGAAGAACAAGGAAATGTGTTTTCTGAAGGACAGGAATTGGAAATGAGTTGGAAAGAATGAAGGAAAATTAGAGAGGTTACTTATGAGATATGCCTGTGGTGTAATTAAGTATGAAGTGATAGGTGCCAGAGAGAATGGCTAAGCATTTTCTAATTCCTAGCATGGGAAAAGGAGGTGTGATGGTAAGAAAATAATGTTAGGTTAGATACCTCCTGTATAGACCACAGTGGGGGGGGGGGGGGGAGGGTATTAAAAAGCTAGTAGACCTTGCTTGGTTGCTGCCAGAAAAAAACCCATAGGAGAGGGTTCAAAGAATCCAGTTCTCCCTCTGATTTACAGCACCTTCATTTAGGCCTTATTTTTCCAGTCAGGACAAATTACAAGACCCATCTCTTATCTGATCTTCTTCAGATCCTACAGATTAAAATAAGACAGGGTCTAGGAAGCAGAATGGTGTTGATAAGCTCTTTAGCCTATGAATTTGTTTCTTTACCTGCCAAGAAGTGGGGGGAAATGGTATTTGTCTAAAAGTGTTAAAGTGAGGATTCTATCTAAGTACATGTGAATGTACTCACAATAATCTTGACATTTAAAATGTTATCATCACTATTATCATTATTATTTATTGTGCTGGAGATAGAACCTAGAGCCTTGTGAATGTTAGACAAATGCTCTACCACTGACCTACACTTCAGCCTCAGAATCTTGAGTTCTGGCCAGAAGAGTATCTCCTGGGTATTAGGCAAATCCTTTATACTCAGTGAGTTCACAAAACTGTACACATCTTGTATATCCCATCTTAATTTCTAGCATCACCATCAAGCCAGTCTATTAAACTAAAAATTGGTGGGTCATTCACCTCTGACTTCTCTCTATATATCTTCAGTCAACTGATTATCGACTACAACACATTTTACTACTCTTATACCTAGATCTTCATTATCTCCTAATCACTTCTAGTATACTTCATACTGCTACCAAAGTGTGGTAAGACATGTGTTCTGAAGTGAGTGCCTCGGGTCACGTCCTGGCTCTACGACCTCTTAATAGTAACACACTGGGCAAAGTTTCTCCAGCCTCCTAGGTCTGTTTTCTCACTTGTAAAATGGGAATAATAATAGTATCAATTTTATTTTAAGAATTTATCAAATTAAAATGTGTTCAAATGTTTACAACACTACCTGGCACAGAGGAATACTGATTCTTTTCCTCATTACTAGGTAAACCTCTCAATAATTACTTAGTCCTGTTCTTCTCTGTATCCCTATCTTTTAGCAAGCAGAGTATCTCCTACATACTGTGCCATAATATCCAGTGAATGAAAGATCATTAGAATGAGGAAGGTTAGAGCCATATCTAGAACCATATCTATCTATCTTCAAAAGCTTTAACAGCAATAACCAAAGAGTCTGAAAAATATTTCTTGCCCAACCCATATCAAAAATATTTTAGTCAAATAATATAAATGGGATAGCTGAATATCTTAGCCATTTCTGGTTAGAGCCCAGTCACCAACAAACCAAATGGAATAGCCATTAGATAATTCTAGTTTACATTCTAAATGTTGGTATGAGTGACTATAAGGAGTTATTGGGAAGGTGTATAAACTTCTCTTTTTACATTTTTGCAGCTTTAATATTAAGCCAGGCAAAATTGAAAACTAAGGAATTAGGGCCCACAGAAGGTCTTAAAGAAGGCTACTGTTTTTTAAAACGAGGGCTTTATAAACCTCTTACTTTCCTCTAGAGTTAGAAATACTGATCTAAATATCTAAGAGAGACCAGACAGATGCACAGAAGCTGACACTGGAGGAAGTAATAAGCAAAGGGGTTACAGTACTTATGGCCTGGGCCTTTGAGATGTGAATCACCCAGGCAGACGGGTATCAGAAATGAAAATTGTCTACTTGAAATAATAACCATAATTCTGCTTGGATTGGCTGTTTAAGCTTTTGTGCCTAAGAACTTTCTGGTCCATCTCCTAAGGGCAAGGTACAGGAAAAAATAGATAGGGAAGGAATACTGAGCCCCATTTCCAGTGGGTCAATGTCTCATATATGTAGAACATAATAGACCATATTCCAGAGACTATGGAAATAGTAATTTGATGAAATTATGTGACTTTTGTCATGTTATTAAGTTAATTTTGTTGCCTAAGAGACATTTCTTATAGTGATCTGCTTGTTTTATCAAAGTGAACAGTGTCGAAGAAGATCACATCCTACCCTTTAGCCAATCTTGCAAGGGAAAACAATGTCCAGAGATAAAGTGAGAACCTTAAGGAGTGAAGCAAAGCAGAGTCATTAGAGCCTAAAACTAAAAAGAAAGTGCAGGTGGGTGTGATGGTACATGCCTATAATTCCAGCTACTCCTGTGGCTGATCATGAGTTTGAGGCCAGCCTGGGCTACATAGTGAAACCTTGTCTCAAAAAAGGGGGAAGTTCCATGGATGCAGCTCAGTGGCAGAGCACTTGCCTAGAATGCATGAAGCACTGTGTTTGATATCTAGCATCACAAAAAGAAATAGAAAAAAAAAGGCAGGGTAATGGAAACACCAACACAGGCCTAGAAGGGACTCAGTTCCTTAAGAGGATAGAGAATTTGGACAATGCAAATAATACCCTGTGTGCATAACATTACAATAGGGAAAGAGACAGCTTTCATGTAATTCCCATTTCACAGATAAATTATTTGGAGGCCCAAAGTCATATCATTTAGAAGTGCTGGAATCAGAAGAAGAATTTCTATCCTCTGATACAAATTACAGTGCTCTCATACTAGTTTCTAAAACCCGAAGTCAAGTGACTTTCTGAGAAACTGCTAAAAGAACAAGTTTAAAGACAAAACTCAATTATTTACCAATATCTTGAGCAGATAGAATAAGAAATGCTGAAATTAAAAAATGAAAACCAACATTTTAGAGTTTTGAGATTATAAATCTTTAAAAAAGTAATACTTATATTTTTATTATTAGAAAACAATCAAAGAAGCACTAAAGTACACATATTATTTTCAGACAGTTTTATTATGCATCTTATTGGGGAATAGACAGTAGTGTTGGAATGGGCCTTTAGGAAAGCCTTCAGGTTTAAGGTTACTCTGTAGCATGGCATTGACAATGGAGTGGTGATAAAAAGAACTATAATAGTCGACATTCACTGAGTACTTACTAAATGTCAGGTATTCCTCCATTAATAGAATATATGTTAGCTCATATAATCCTCATAACCCTAGTGGTAAATACTGTTATTTATTCCCTAAATTAATTAGTTAATTAATTCAATTTTGGAGATCAAACCCAGGACCTCACACATATTAGGCTAGCACTCTATCAAATGGGCTATGTCCCAGGCATTTCACTTATTTTAAAAATGAGCTAACTGAAGCAGAGACAGATAAAATAGCTTGCCCTTGAACCATACAGCTAAATAAAAGGCAGAGAGAGATTTGAGCCTCAACAGTCTGAAAGCTACAATACAGCTAATAATGAAGTTATAATGTTATTTGACCTGGATGCCAGTGGGATCCCTCAACTTCTGCTTGAAGCAAACCTCATAGTTAAAGGTAAATGGTTACTAGAAACAAATTGCCTACTAAAGGAGTATTGAAAGATCCTCTAATCTCTCCCAAATAAGCTCACATCTATTACAATAGGCATCATCTGAAAATCTACCCTTGAAAAATTCTGTTGTGTGCCCACCTAGCAAGTATGAGGCTCTGAGTTCAAACCCCAGTACCAAAAAAGACACACAGTTCCATCTATAGAGGAGCTGAAGAGCTGGCCTCATGTGGTAGAATCTAGCAAGTGTGAGGTTCCTGAGTTCAAACTCCGTACTATCAAAACAACACAACAAACAAAAAACCTTAGTACTGACATCTCAGCAGGCAGCTCCTTATGATTTTCCTATCAAGTATTTCAACATACACAAAAGCCAGAGAGTGAACTACCTAGTCCAACCACCACAGTGAGCATTCAGAAGGGAGCCTCAAGACAGGAAACCCCTGTAGCACACCATTTTCCACCTCTACTGGAACAAGATAAAAAAAGAAAGTGGTAAGTGGGGCAATTGGGCTACTTAAAAGGAACAAGAATTGAAAGAGAGAAACATATTTTACACAAAAAATAAGTGAAGGGCTGACAGCACATACCCATGATTGTGAATGTCATTTCAGAAAGAATGAAATTGAGTATTACACCACTACTACAGGTAGCTAAGCTTGAAATAGTAGTAGTAGTATTTTATTCCTTAAAATGATAAGATACACTAGAAAAGAGCTTTATGATTTGGGGCAAGTCATTTGATCTTCCTATGCCTCAGTTTTCTCATCTGCAAAATGGGGTGACATCAGTCTAGCCCTGTCCCCTCATATGATTGTCAAGATCAATCATGATATATTGTAAGAACTTTTGTAAATGTCACAATGTACCCCCAGTAGAATATTAAAAAAAAAGATCAATCATGACAATGCATGTAAATTCTTTGTAAAATGTAATTATAAAACCTCTATAAATTTTTGGGATTGCTTCAGTCAGAAAATCATATACTAAAGTACAAAAACAAACTGAGTCACATTTTAAAGATCCAATCCACTTAGCATAATAATAACTGTCTTATTATATTTGATATGTTCATCTCCATTCTCCCATAAGTTCATATTTTACAGCATTTCATGCATAGTGTCTAGGGTTATCCCTACTTCTCCTTTCCTCAGATGCTAATTTTAAGCCCCATTCCCCCCCCAGAAAAGTTCTGCTGTTAATCCAAATAAACGCATAAGGAACTATAGGCTCAGAGAGATTACATAAAGCAATCCCACAGTCACGTAAACTAGTAAATGAAAGAGCTAGGATTTGATTCAAGTATGATATCAAATATCAAAGCTCTTTTTCTCCCTTAAAATGAATTTGTCAGTTGTTGGGCAACTCAGGGTGAAAAGGATGGAAGAATGCTACACACACACACACATATGAAGACAGCATAATGAAACTCATCAAACACTATTTGAAAAGATGGGAGGAGGGAGGAAGAAAATGGAAATATAATGGAGGGAATGAACTTATTCAAAGTTTACTGTGCACATATGTGGAATTATCATAATATTATCATAGTATTAATGTGTGCTAATTCAAAAATGAAATAAAATTATTTTAAAATACTACAACCATTTGGAATAGCTTGGTAAACTTGAAAATAATAATAATGGAGATTATTTTTATATCTTCACAATAAGCTCTATTATTGAACATAGCAAAGAGTATTAAAAGATTGTCACAAATTGTGATATTAAACCTAAAACAAAACCTCCAAGAATTACAATTTGAGCATGGCACTGAGGCCTCCATTTACAAAAGGGACAAAAAGTAATAGTATCAAAGATTCACTGTTCTGTAACATCAAGTAAAATGACATGTGATTCTCATCATCACTGTATACTATTTTTATAGAACATTCTCTTCCATGAAGTAAATTAAACATAGTGCCACTGCAACAACCAAAAAGAATTTGTAACAATCTCAGATCTCATAAAAATGGAGAAGGCATATTATACTTTTACTACCAACTGGTGTATACACCTATATGAATTAGTTTAAAAAAAAACCAAGAAAATGAGCTGGCCACCAGTGGCTTATGCCTGTAATCCTAGCTACTTGTGAGGCTGAGATCAAGAGGATTGTGGTTGAAGGCCAGTCTAGGCAAAAATGTTTGTGAGACTCCATCTCAATGGAAAAAAATCTGGGCATGGCGGTATGTACCTGTAACCCCAGCTACATAAGAGGCATAAATAGGAGGGGTTGTGGTCCAGACTGGAACAGGCAAGAGGCACAGCCCTATCTCCAAAATAACAAGAGCAAAAAGGTCTGGTGGCATGGCTCAAACAGTAGAGTACCTCCCTAGCAAGCACTAAGGCCTGAGTTCAAACCATAATATTGCCAATAAAGAAAAAGGAAAAGGAAATGAATAGAATCAAAACGCATCTAAAGAGCTAGGATGATTAGTCTCAAATAATCAAAGTTAAATAGGTGCTCAGCATTCTGAAGACCTTTCTGATGATATTGTACCTTGTTTGTGAGTTTCTATTTCAAGGGAAATGAGAAATAGAATAAAAATTCATTATAAAAGACAAGTATGTAACTCAGGCTGGCTTTGAACTTTGTACTCCTGCCTCAGCCTCCCTGAGTGCTGGGATTATAGGCATGTACCACAGCCAGGATTTATGTCTTGATAAGAAGAAAAGCCAGAGGATTCTGTTTCTCTACTTGCACAAAGAAGGTCATGTGAGTACGTAACAAGAAGACAGCCATCTACAAATCAGGAAAATAGCCCTCAAAAGAATCTGACCATGCTGAAACCCTGATCTCGGACTTCTAGCATTCAGAATTGCAAAAAAAAGTAAATGTCTGTTGTTTAAAGCATTCAGTTAGTGGTATTTTGGTACAGCAGCCCTATCCCTCTAAAATAATACTTACAAACTTTTTATTGCTATTATAAACCACACTGCAAAAGTTTGGAAAGGTCTTAAATGTCAACCAATAGAAGACTTTAAATAAATCATGGCTCATCCACATAGTGAAAAACTGTGCAGTCACAGAATGAGGCATTTTATGTATAAATAAAAAGAGCTCAAGGTATATTTTCAAGTAGACAAAGCAAATTATAGAACAATATGTAGAAATTGTTATTGTGTTTAAAAGGGAAGGGTGGGGAAAATATATATGCTTTAAATATCTCTGGAAAGATTTCCAATAAACCAATAACTTCAGTTGCCTCTAGTGAGGCAAAACAGGTAGCTAAGGGACAAGAATAGAGGAGAGTTTTCACTGTATGGCTTTTTGTATATGTTGGATTTTGAGCCATGTGGAATGCATTTTCAGTTCAAAAATACATTTTGAAGTGGGAATTTAAAAAAAAATTAGGGGAAAGAAATACATATGTGAGCTGTATTTGTTCTGTAGGCTAATTGTTTGCACCTCTGCCCTAAATTAAGGTGGTGACAGAATAAAAAGGTGCCAGATATAAAGAGAAAAAAACAGGTCTTTGGCAACTAGGTAGATGAGGAAACTAAGAAGAGGGAAAATTTTGATACCAGAAGTTTGAATATAGGATATAGATACAACTACATTTCCTCATTGTGTAGAATGTTTTCAAGCATTCTTAGAGTGTTTTTACAAAATTAACATATTTATTCCTCACTGCCACTCTATGAAGTAATTCCTACTATTATTCCCAATTCACAAATAAGAAAACTCAATTGCAGAGTTTAAATAAGTGCATCAAGGTTATGATATAGAAAGTTACAGAAGGGAAGGGGAAAGGAAGAGTGTGGAAGGAGGAGTGAGGAAAATTCTGGGCTGAAGACACATTCTATTTTAGAAGTGGTGGGCTTTTGGTTACAAAAAAAAATGTCAAAATACTAGTGATTTTAAATATCCAGACTGGGCTCTAGAGTTAGGCATTCCTCCTTAAAAATCCCAGAGATGCAACAGCAAAAGAAACTATAGAAAATATTCAAACACTTGAAGCCTGAACAACACATTGTTAAATGACTGGTAGGTCAATAAAGAAATAAGGGAGGAATCAAAAAGCTCCTAGAATCTAATGAAAATGAAAACATAACCTACCAGAATCTTTGAAATTCAGCAAAGGCAACGCCAAGTGGATATAGCTATCAGTGCCAACATAAAAAAAAAATAAAGAGATAGATAGATCTCAAATAAATAGCTTAATTAATTACACATATAAGTTCCTACAAAAACAAGAACAAGCCAAAACAGACAGAAAGAAATAATAAACATTAAGGCAGAAATTAATGAAATGAAGACAAAAAAAAACTACACAAAGAATAAATGAAAGAAAAAGGTGGTTCTTTGAAAAGACAAATAAGATTGATAAACACTTAGCCAATCTGACTAAACGAAGGGAAAAGACCCAAATTAATAAAATTAGAGATGAAAAGAGGATATACTGAATAATACCAATGAAATTTAGACAATTATGAGGGAATACTTTGAAAACCTATGTTCAAACAAACTGAAAATCTAGAAGAAGTAGATAAATTTCTAAATGCACTTGGCCTACCAAAGTTGAACCAAGGGAGTATAAACCACTTAAATAGACCTATAATGAGCAATGAGATTGAAGCAATAATAGTCTCCCAACAAAGAAAAGCCTAAAACCTGATGGATTCACTACCAAATTCTACCAGATCTTTAAAGAACTAAAACCAATACTCCTCACACTTTTCCATGAAACAGAAAGGGAAGCAACACCATCAAACTCATTCTGTGCAGCCACTATTACACTTATTCCAAAACTGGACAAGGACACAAAAACAACAAAAGAGAATTCTAGACCAATCTCTTTAATGAACACAGACACAAAATTTCTCAATAAAGTACTTGAAAAAGTGAATTCAACAACACATTAAAAACATCATACACCATGATCAAGTTGGTTTCATTCCATGGATGCAAGGATATTTCAACATATGTAAATCAATAAATGTAATATTGTACATAAGCAGAATCAAGAACAAAAATCACATGATCATCAATAGATACAGGAAAAGAACTTGACAAAATTCAACAAAATTGGCAAAATCTCTGAAGAAACTAGGAATAGAAAGAATGTACATCAACATAATAAAGGCTACATATGACAAACCTATAGTCAACATCATGCTAAATGGGGGAAAATGAAATAATTTCCTCTAAAGTCAGGAACAAGATAAGGGTGTCCACTCCCCCTACTCTTTGTTTCCATATAGTACTGGAATTCCTAGCCAGAGCATAAGGGAAATGAAGGAGATTCAAGTAAGTAATGGAGAAATCAAATTATCCCTATTGGCAGATTATATGATTCTATACTTAAAAGACCCTAAAGATTCCAAACAAAAAAAAACAAAACAAAACTATCCTAGATCTGATAAACAGTTCTTGGCAACATAGCAGAATATAAAATCAGCTTACAAAAACCAGCAGTTTTTCTATATACT